ATGGCGGCAACGCAAAGTGCTTACGTCATGACGACCAAGCCCTATTCATATCTAATTATTTTACTTAGGCAAACCTATTGAACAACCAGATATCATACAGGTCCTAGTTCCTGAGCTGAGAACAGGTCATAGCCATGCTTTTCCAACAAGGCAAGGCAGAGCCTATTTACGTATAGTGTCCATTCACCAACAGACTCATTTATATTGCAAAGCTCACTATGTGATAGAAACGTAGAGAATAATTGTATTTTGTCTTGTCTCGCCTTTTCATGTCATTCAACATTTCAGCTTAGAGAATGACAAACAGTATGATTTCAGTACTGGAGTAACAATTTCACCCAAGGAAAAGAACTACATATGAAGCATTTGGAACAGGTATACTTTGTGCAGTGAACACAACGCTCAGTGCTGTGGCTCCTGTGGCAGAGATTGCACACCTGGCCTGCTTGTAATAACAATGAAAAAATAAAAAAATAGAGTTTAGCACATTTCAAATCAATCAATATCAAACTATTCCTTATTTAAGCTGAAAGACAGATGTGGAGGAATGTATATGTTATCCTTGGACTTCAGCGAACCTTTAAAATAAACGCCTTCGATTGTCTGGCACAGGTCATGTTTTTAAAGGGATGATATAAATGTGTTTTCTTTCGCTCAGATGCTCTAATCAAAATATAAACCGATAAAATTTCTCTCCATGTTTGGCTGTAAGGATTCCATCCGATAAACCTAGTGACCTAATACTGCACCTTTACTGTAACGTGCATGTGTGTTTGTTTTCTGATTATCTAAGAAGTTGACATGGAGATACCATCTCCCTCACCACCAGCTCACTGCTAACGAGCTGGCTGATGAAAGAACAAGACAAGCCAATTAAAGGAAACAAGCTGAGAAAGTGATGCAGAGCTGACTTTCTTAGGTGTCAGCTTCAATGAGACTTAGCTAGGTTCTACTCAATGAACTATGGGAAATATGGGAATGCATTTCTACATAAAAAAACTATTCTGTTTGGGTTGGATTTCGTGTTTGAAAGATAAAATCTTAAGGTGAAAGTTTGGTAAAACCAGAGTACTATATAACCTTTCTTAAGCCTTCAAATCACCTCAAATGTATTTTACATTTTCTCACACTACAGCCATAACACAAAACATTTTCTTACTAAGATTTAATCAGAAAAAGAGCAGCATGTGTTGCTATTTATTCCACCTAACTGTGTCTCCCAAAATATAATAGTGCCACTAATAGGCTGTAACATCTTTCATGTCATTATATGTCAATTTGACCTTTGAAGGCCTCAGAGGTTAGATAACATTATTTAGCAAGCATGAGGAAGACAAATGATCATTTTGAAGCTGAGTTAGGCTATTCAAAGATAACCTAAGCTGTGAAGCTCTGAGTCTAATGCTCAGGTGGGAATATCAATCCTTATCTATCATTACAAATCTACGCAAAGCCACGACTATGTACTGTTATTTTCGAAAAGGGAAATTTGTGCAACTGCTCTATTTCTATTAAATGATAAATGCAACTAAAATTGCACGTCAATATGTCTGTTCACAGGATAACTCCTAAAAACAACATGGCAGCAGCGGATGCAAACACCTCAGGTATCAATGTTTCATCTCCGGCTCTAGTGGGTGACATCATTTTCTATTCTATTCTACTATTTCGGGTCTTTTTCTGCATGTTGTTTTCAAGGAAGGCCTCAGTCAGTCATCAATTTCTCATCTCCAACTTGTGCAGAACGCTGCTGCCCGATTTTTAACTAACACATCCAGACGTGAACACATTACTCCTGTGCTGTCGTCACTCCACTGGCTTCCAGTCTGTTTTAGAATCGATTTTAAACTTCTGCTGTTTGTTTTTAAACGCCATTCATGGCTTGGCCCCCTCTTACTTGTCTGAGATTTTAACTTTTCGCAATTGTGGCAGAGCTTTACGCTCCTCGGTTCAGCTTCTGCTAGAGGTCCCTAGATCAAGACTTAAGCAGTGAGGCGATCGTTCTTTTCCCGTCGCTGCTCC